TTTGTTCATTACAAAATGAAAACCTAATAAGGACAGTTGCCATTTGAATGAAAATTTTGCTTTAGGGTAATTATTTCCTACAGGATGTCAGTATTTCAGGTTAGGTATTTAGAATTGCATTTTGGCTTTATCTTTATTCTAATATGAATTAATATACTCTCTATTGAGAGCAGTGTATATTAACATTTGGATTAATTAAGATTACAATTCCTTAATAAAATGATAGCAGGTAGTAATATAATATTTTTTTAGGCAAAGCAATGTTTTTAAGAGACCTCAGTAAATAATCTAGGTACCTTTAACATAGTGAATATCTTAGATACTGTTTCTTTTGTTCCATGAAGTACTAAAATAGAAGGTTTTGTAGCCACACCCATGCAAAATGTATAATGCCATCTCACAGGTGTAGATACAATCATTTTTCATGAACAGACTCAGGATTTAAGAATTGGAAAAGCAAGTTTGGCTTGGGCTTCTAACTCTACAAAGCCACATTTGACCTATCATGTGGCTGTAAAGAGAACTGAACCACTCAGCCAAGTTTCTCCATGCGTACAACATTGAAATTTACTTTACAAATAATTTACCCACATTTCAAAATATTGTTCTTTAATTTTTTGGAAACCATTTAAAAAATGACAGCCTTTAAATGGCTTCTAGGACATAAAAAGACAACTGGTGAGCAGGTGGGATCCACAGGCCAACTTGGTTGTATAGAATGAAATGCTGAGAGGTAGGTGATCCATATAATAGCAAAGGTTTTGCTTTGTGTCTTTTCCAAAAAGAGAAATCGTTATATGCTGTCATGGTCAACAAACTCCTGACAGACAAAGCAAGGTTTTGAGGAGGCTTTCCTCAGAATAGACCACCCAGGAGGAAGCTGTGCACAAGGCAAGGCTTGTCAACAATTGCTCCTTCGTTCATTTGTGTTTTGTGTGAGGACTTTCCTTCTGTTGAGTTTTCAGAGGGAGACACATATGTTTCTTATTCACGACTTCTGATCTTAGTGATGTAGAAAGGCATAGAGTAATCTTGTGCTTTGACTGAAAACCACTAACCTACTGTCTGTTCTGAGCTAAGTATAGGAAAAGAGAACCCACTAAAAGGGCCTCAGATTAATGAGTTATCTAGACTAGGGCAAGAAGTCTTATTTTTATTATTTCTTTTAGTTTTTACACACCTTCCACATATCAGACATCGTGCTAGGATGGCACTAGAAGAAACCATCCTGAGTGAGGTAACCAAGTTACAAAAAAACAAACATGGTATGCTCTCTCATAGCATGGGAAAGGGAGAGGGACCTGGGATTGACATGTGAAGCAACCTTGTTTCTAATTCAAATTTAAATTTAAAAAGAAAAAGAAAAAGAAAGAAAAAACTGGCAAGAAGTTAACTATCCTCAGAGCATTCTTTCAGTTTGTGATCCTAGTTTGCTTTAAAAAAAAAAAACAAAAACAAAAACAAAAGAGGCAGCAGTGAGGGGAGAGATATTTATAACCCTGGCATGCAGTTTGAATCACCTGAGAAATTTAAAGCTTACATCCTCTGTGTGCTGTCCCACACAGGTTCTGATTTGTCTTGTCTTGGATATGGCCTGGGCATACAGTTTTTTCTTTTGTGTTTGTTTGGTTGGTTGGTTGGTTGGTGGGTAGGTAGGTAGGTTGATTTTAAGAGCTCCCCTAAGTGATTCTAGTGCTCAGTCAAAGCCAAAAACCTCTAGCTGTAGTGTAAGGAGAGTTGGACACAAAAAGGTGCCCACAGCAATAGCATGGACGGAACTAAAGTAGTCTTTAGTGAGTAAAAACGTACAACAAGGTATCAGAGCATAAAGAAGGGGAAACAATACATCCCTCTTTGAAACTTTGGAGCTATCCTTCTAGATAGGATATACAGCCTCCATAGAGGGGTCTGGAATAGTGAGCAGGGACAAAGGAAGTATCACAGAACAGGTAGATGTTCACACATTGCTGTCTGGTTCTAAAGAGGGAACTAGGATTGTATTTTAATTTACAGTGATGACCCCTCTGGCATGGTAAGCACAACTAATGTTCTCATAACTCCAGGCAAGAAGCCCAGTTACTGAGTCATTGCCAAGTCCACATGAGAAATGATTAGGGCTTTAATGCCAGCTAATGGCAATGACTCTGGACAGGAAATGACTATTCATAAGATATTAAAGATGTGGAATTAACAGGATGTGGTCACTGTTGGTGATTAAGAAGACTTATATTCCTGATTGGATTACTGGATGGCTAGAATAGGGATGCCAGGTGTCTAATGGGAAAGAGAAATGGAAATGGCCGAATTCCTATTGATTCGTTTACTTTGAAATATTGGTGAAACTGTCCACTAAAAATTCTCTAGGTAACTTTCCAAATGTAGGAACAAGAGTGAAAAGCAATGCTTCCCTGGAGATGTAATGGAGGAGTCATCAGTCTGTGCAGAAGACAAGAGACAAGCTTGCCCGAGTGAGAAGTACACAAGTCTGAGGGACTCAACGTGTAAGGCATGGGCACAGGAAAAGAGCTAGCATTTTGGCTCCCAAATGGGTTCAGGTGGCAGTAATAGAACCAGGAGGAAATGATGTTAGAAGAAAAAGCAGATGTAGAAAAGAAAGGGAAATAGAGCATTAGAAGCTTCAAAACGGTCAAATAGCCCAAGACTTAAGGCATGCCGGTAGAGTGGTCAGCATCATGGGAATGCTGCTTTGAGAACCATTATTGCAGTTGGCTTAAGACTAAATGTTAACTACCTGTCAAAATGTGAAGAGAATAGATTTAGGAAGCCCTTTTCCTCCTCCTAACATATGCAAAATGGGTAAAAAAATCTTCAGTGTTAAAAATATTTCTAATTGGTAATTAAACTAAAAATGAAATTAATTCTCCATATTCCCAGAATGAAAAAGGAATTAAAAGTCACAGGAGCAGCCGGGCGGTGGTGGTGCACGCCTTTAATCCCAGCACTCGGGAGGCAGAGGCAGGCGGATCTCTGTGAGTTCGAGGCCAGGCTGGACTGGTAGCCTCCGAAACAATACAGAGAAACCCTGTCTTGTAAAACCAAAAAAAAAAAAACAACAACAAACAACAAAACAAAACAAAAAAATACTACAGTTCAGCCTGCAACACAAGAAGCTAGAGATTTCATCTGTGGGGAAGTTATACAAGGGGTGGTCTCACCCATGAGTGTAACCCGGAAACTTAGATGCTGTGGTCAGTCATTTGATGGAATGTTTTAAAGAACAGAGGACTTTGGAAGAGAGGAACTCTGGGCCAGGGAAGAAAATCATGTATGCATTATTTAGAAAACTAACAGAGACTAGAGAAATGCATTGTAAAGAGACATATGTGAAATATAGGAAGAAAAAGCGGGGATAACCTAGGATTCCTAAGAGCCTAAGTAGAAGGATAACTAGAAACAAAGGAAGATGAAATGTGTTTGAATATACCTGCTGAAGAGAGAAACTCACGTGTCTAATATGTGCCCACCATTCTGTCAGATATAAGGGATGCAGAGGTGAGCTATGAGGATCTACAGGACTGATCAGAGATACATTTTTTCAAATTGCCAAAGAATATTCAGGGCTTGCCTGCAATGGGATGTTATAAATCTGAGGAGGTATCATGCTTTAAGATTTTCAAGTATAAAAGTGTATAAAAGTGAGATTGAAGAAAAATACAGTGAAATGAAGGGAGAGACAGGAATAAGGGGCGCCCATGAGAGCAATTTGAAAGGCTAGATGAAGAAGACTCCGCTGTCATAACTTCATATCTCTGACCACAGTTCTTATCAGAAAACCTCTGCTTGGAGTGGTCTAGAAAATTCTAGCAATCACCCACACTTCTTCTAGTCTAGCTTATTTTAAAGGCACCAGGGCAGTATTGTTGCAATATGAAACCATGGTACTTTTGGTTAGCCTGCACCAAGTCAAGGTTTGTTGACCTCACCTTTTCTGGTCTATGCATATTGAATTATCTATTGGGTCAAGGAACTTTTCTTATAGATACATATGCTCCATTTATATTTCTCTGAAAATGTATGCTGTACCTCAAAGTGATTCTTAGCACTGAAAGGTATCCTTGCCTGTGATGTGAGAAGCCTCCAGAGACTGGAGACTTGACCATCATCACCAGAATGCCCAGCTCATGAACATTCCATAAATAAATGTCACTTCTGTCAGAAAGGACTGCTGGTGAGAATTTTTTGACCCTTAAAGTCAGCTATGGTGGCAGAAATGTTGAGTAAAAAGAGAGGGTTTTTTTTAATTAAGTTGAAATTGAACATGTAAAGTGACTTTTCAGATACATTCTAGTAAGGGCAACATTAATAGTGAACCCATGGGCCCTATTAAAGGACTAGAAGCATGTCAACTCTAGGTCACTAGCCAAAGCCCAGTAGAGTTAGCTATAATCAAAGGTTTTCCCTGACATTTGGGGCACAGGCTTTCTTTGTGATGATAGGTTTACTTTGAATAAAGGGATGTTTGTCCATCATTCAAAAGCAACCTTCATGCAGAACTAATTGGTAGTATAAACCAAAAAAAGTCAGAGAATAGTCTGTTGTAACACATATTATGTTCACTTATCAGAAAACAGTCTATTGCAACACTTATTATCATCTTTTGGGTACCACTCTTTTGTCATTGAAATCGCATTTTAAAAATATGATTACACTACTTTTTAAAAAATTATTTCTTGAAAGGTCAAACACAAAATTTCTCATAAATTTGTGTTCTACATAGGATATTAACAATTATAAGATAGATAATCAATAATATCAGGTTATGATTATTCAACATATTAGAAACTGAGAGTGAAACCTGGGAGTGGCATTTCCCAGCAGTGTGACACATAAATAGATATTGCTGCTTCTGACACAGGTGATACGCTGTGTGTAAGAAGAGAGATGGGCGCAACATCGTTTTCTACAACAAAAGCAGCAATATGAATGCAATATGAATGTATATGATGCTAAAGTATCCATTTTGTTGTGGCCATTTTCAGGGGCATTGTCCAGTCAGAAGAGAAACTTGTCATCAGTGCATCTTGGGCAAAAGATGATGATATCAGCAGACTCTTGAAATCGTTGCCAAACTGGACTAACATGGCTCAGCCCAAACAGCTGAGGCCCAAGAGGGAAGAGGAAGAAGACTTCATAAGGTAAGCATCTACTTTCTAAGCTACAGTAGACAGAGCGGGGGAACCCCATGTGTTCATCAAATCCTTTCTCAAATTAAATGGTGATGATTCTAAAGATAAAGCAGCAGTTACTTAAACTTGAAAACTCTTTCCCTCCTCACGCACCTCCTTTCCCATGCAAGTGTACCTTGGACTCAAATGTCAGCAAGGAGTGGTGAACCCGATGTAAGCATTGCCAAGTTGGACTTAAATGTCTCAGATTATATATAGATACAATACAGCCATTTGTCCATTCATTCATTCATTCAGCAAAGCTATTCCTTGACAAACTGATGGTAAGATACAGCTCAGCTCAGAGTGTATCACAGCACTGCAAGTGTGTTCTATAATTTCCATGTTCATTCACACAGACTATATTGTCTTTCTCTTGGTTTTGACAGAAGTAAGGTCTCTCTTTTAACTTTTCCATTCAGCATTTGTCTTTGTACAATTTATTTAATTAACCCATGGAATCTAATGAAGCTGCACATTTTCCTACATCTGACTACTCTTCTCACTATGTCATCATTGTGTAAAGTAGATACAAGATGGCAACCGTGCGTTATTGTGTTAGAGTTAGGTTCATTCTTATTATCTTTTGTTCATCTGGGTGAAAAAAATTAGATGGTACAATAAAGTAAAAGTACTTTAAAAAGCAAAGACCAAGAGCTGGGAAAGGGAGGCATATCTGGAATCTTAACACACAGGAGATGGAGTCAAGAGGGTCAGGAATTCATTTATTTACCTTTCACCACATAGTGAGTTCCGAGCTGACTTGACTATATGAGACCCAGAGTCACAAAGAAAAACAAGGAAGAAGCAGCAAAGACCAAAAATTTAAAAAGTAGTAATTTTAAAAAGTAATGGCCTTCTCTTAGTTTCATTTTATGATCAAACAATAGATTCAGCTCTGTCTGTCACAATGTAGATTGAAACTGTAGATAATTTGGCTTAAATGAGAATGTCCCCATATACTCAGATATGTGGATATTTGGTCCCCAGTTGGTGGCATTGTTTGGCATTTAGGAGGTACAACCTAGGAGCAGGCTCTGGGAGCTCTTAGACTTGTCCCACTTCCAGTTCATTCTCTCTGCTTCGTTTCTGTGGTTGAAGATGTGATCTCTAAGCTTCCTATTACTTCCCTCTGCTGCCATGCTTCCTCTGCCGTTATGAATTCTCCCTCTGGAACCATTACTAGGTGTTCTGTAAACCAATAATCGTTTTCTCCACCCCACACAGTAAGCCAGATTAAGCTGAATTGAAAAAGTAAAAGAACAGACTTTTTGAGCAAAGCAACTCCTGGGTGAGTCCTCCAGTCCCAGAGATCAGGGCCAGAGGAGTTATGCACCCAACTGAAGCAGGGAGCTTATATAGCGCATAAGTAAGGGGTGATGACATATTTGCCACAATCTGGATTTGTGCCCAAGTATGTATGGTTAAAACCTGAGCACTTTAGGTGGGGACTTTGGCTGCTAGCAACTTCAGGGGAGGAGCTGTCATAGCTGCCAGGAATATAGAACTGGCCTTACTGGCACCTTTTCTTTGTTAGAGATTCTCTGAGAGAATGGGTTTGAAGAGAGAGAGAGATGGGGATTCTCAGACCTTACAGTAGGATCAAGCTGGAAGTTCCAACCATAACCAAAATAAACTCTTCTGTCCATGAGTTGTTTTGTCATGGTATTTTATCATAGCAACAGAAAGTAACTAATATATACAATAAGTCTTTACTGTTCATAAAGTTAACTATCTTCACATCTATACAACTTATTCACTGACAGTAGGTAAACTTTTCCAGATATTAGCTTACCTATAGTTACAATTGGAAAATTGGAGGGTATTACATGTAGCAGGCTTTCTTTTGACTTCCAACCAGCTCCCAAATAAAGACATAGAGACTTATTAGTTACAAATGCCTAACCTTACCTGATGCTTGTCCCACTACCTCTTATAACTTAATTAACCTGTTTCTCTTCATCTGATTTGCCTCTTTTTTTCTTTTCTTTCCTTCGGTATATCCTACTTTTCCTGCTTCTATCATGTCTGCTGGCAGCTGCCTGGCTGGCTAGCCCCAGGCATCTCTCTCTCTCCTTCTCCCTATTTGGAGCCTAGATTCCTCCTACTACTGATTCTCTGCCTGGCAACCCCGCCTATCCCTCTACTGCCTAGCTATTGGCCATTCAGCTACATATTAGACCAGGCAGGTGCCTTAGGCAGGCAAGGTCAAACAGCAACACATATCTATATAATTAAACAAATGTAGCATAAACAAATGTAACTTGCTTTTACATAGTTAAAGTAATATGCCACAACAATTAAGTGTTGGGGTGAGATGTGTGCGCAGGTCTGTTTGACATACGTTAGGCCTTGAATTGCTGGGTAATAGTGTGTGCAAATTTTGAGGGTCTACAATATCAGTTTTCTAAAGTCTTCCTAAGGAGTTGGAAATACAACTCAACCATTAAGAACACAAACTGCTCTTACAGAGGACCCAAGTTTTATCCCCAGCTCTCACAACTGCCTGTAACTCCAATTCCACAGAATTCTGATACCTTTTTTCTGGCCTCTTCAGACACTCACACACATACATTCACACATACCATCTACACACATAGACACAGACACAAACACATACATACACACACACAGAGAGACAGAAGAGAGAACTTAACTGTCTTTTAAAAAATCAGGAAACAGAATAGGCCTAGAAGTTTGAGTCCTCACAGTGGTCTATCAGAGTTGCTGTTGGCATGTTGGCTTGTGTGCCATCAGACTGGGTATCTGCCGTCTATTGATAGTAGCCATTCTAGTTTGTGTGTTGAGGTAATTGGATGTCATTTAGTATGCATTGCTCTCATGGCTGATGTTGAGCAATTTCCTGTGTATTTTTTTTATAAATGTATTGACTTTCATGGTGTGTGTGTGTGTGTGTGTGTGTGTGCGTGCGTGCGTGCGTGCGTGCGTGCGCGTGCGTGTGTGTGTGTGTTTCAGATCTGTTGCTTAATTATGTTTTCTTTGGGGGGTTTTCCTAGTGATTTGTAGAAGTGATCTTTATATCAGGTTGCTATTCCTTTGTTATAGATAAACCAGTCTTCTCCCACATGACAGTTTGCTTTTTTATTCACTCATTGTGGTCTTTCGCTGTCTGTAGACTTGTCTATAGTAAATAAGTATAGTTTATTGTTTGTTCTATGGATCGAGAATTTTGTAAGCACGTTTATCTTATACAAAAGTCACAGAGGAATGTTCCTTGGAAACTTTGATGTAGTGGTTCCCCAGCATCTGAATAAAAGAAAAAAACCTTAATTTTAATTATATTCTTCTGTAACTAAATTTTCCTCAACCGAGATTATGCTCTTATGACTTTAATAGTGGAAAATATCCTAATATTTACCACCACAAGAGATAATGACTGATTGAAGGATTGATTAGCACTCAATTAGATATAACCAACTGACCTTAATACAGAAAGCAAGCCCCAAGGTGCTATGCTTTCACAGAATTGATGTCCGATCATCATTTTACGGCATTCTCAAGTGGTCTGAGTAAGCACATTCCTACTCCTCCTTATAACTATTCTCATTTAACTGTATGTATTAACCTCAGTAGTTGAATTACAAGTGATTTCTGGATGGTAATTTCTTTTGCACCAAAATTTCAAATGATCATATGTCTTCTTATTGTTCCTCAGTTTATTTTTATGTAAGAACTTCATTGTAATATATGCTTGCAAAAGATTGTTAATTAGCTGTATTAGTTATCTTCTGTAGCTTGATGTAAAAGGAAACAGTTCTATCCAGAAATGAGATGCTGAGCCAGGAATGCAGCCTCTCTCTGACATTGCCTTGAATTTAAAAGAGCTGGAATTAAGGACCCAGCTTTCTTTACTCTTGTTTTGGTCATTCAATCAGACTATTCTTCATATTTAACTCAAAGGAAAAGTCATTCATATAAATATTTCTTCATTTTTGTCTCAATGAAATATATATGATTATGTCCATCTAACTATATCAAAATATCAAATTCTCCTAGTGTCCTTCGAAGGTCTACCATCAAAGTAAGCCCCATTCCAACTCCACCATCATAGTTGAGTTTTGCTTGTCCTTAAGGTTTTTCATAAATTTGGCCATAGTGTCTGGTCTATTTTGTTGATTTATACTTGAGATGTTTGGTCATGTTTTTGAACAGGGTTTGAAAAACATCATAAGAGAATAATTTTTTTGCTGGGTGGTAGTGGCACATGCCTTTAATTCCAGTGCTTCAAAGACAAAGGCAGGGGGATCTCTGTGAGTTCAAGGCCAGCCTTATCTACAAAGTGAGTTCCAGGATGGCCAAGGCTATACAGTGAAAACCTGTCTTGAAAAAACCAGAGAGAGAGAGAATAAGTTTTCTTTAGATGTGATTTTTTTTCCTTTTAACCTGTCACATCCTGTATCTAGACTAGAAGTTGAAACCAAGTAAGTAGGAGAGAGACCCTTCACTGATACTCCAGTGTAGTTACAGAGGGCCTGATTTAGTACATTAAAGTACCATATAGCACTGCATAAGTCAAAAGACTGGAAAGTCACTATTCTCCTATAATTAGTTTTTAAAGCTCAGAAGACTATTAAGTGAACAGATGAATATAGATCCAGTGCCCTTTGCAGTGAATAAAGGCTATCTATGCTCTCTTCATCATTAAATGAGTCCTTTCTCTATTCTTGTTTTTTAACTAAAAAAATGAAATGTATTATTTCCTGGTTCAGCTTTGAATAGGAGGGGAAAAAAAACTAGGTCAAGCTAGGGCTTTAATGGGGGGGGGGAAGCTATTACCCTTTTGTTCCCAAAGAAACTAAAAGCAGGTTCTCAAGCCTATTGTCTTTGCACCTGTCATTTTATATAAATATATATTTATATATTCTTTGTGATAATAGCTACCCACTGATAAAAAGAGTTTGCTTTGGTAGGATGTAATTAACAGGAGGAGGAAGATGTTGGTAAAAGTA